TTGCATCTACTTCAGAACCGAAATTTGGACGCCCTCAAGCAGCTGCAAAGTAAAGCACATGGGCCATTTTTCATCTCAATCTATTTATTGCACGGGAGCATTGGCTACTTGTTATGTCTTACATTTACCTTGATGACGTTAAAAAACGTTATACCAACTAGAAATGCATTTTCGGGGAGCATTGTGCCCCACTTCATATACCCTTCTTACTCCAGGGGCCAGGTACTAAATAAAACAACCTCAATTTAACTGTGAATCGGATACAACATTTGTAATTTCACAGTGATGCTTCTGCGGCATGTTTTGTACCCTGGTGTTTTGGAAAGCATGCGCGTTTTTGGCGGTTTGATACTTTTGGGATCCAGGATAGTTTTGATAACTCCTGGTGTTTGCGTGGCCCGGATGGTCTTGAGCCTGGTGTTTAGGGCGTTAAGATTTCTGTGCTGAGACTACTGGCTTTCTTTTCCAGGTGTTGCCCTGGGGTTCCTTGATCGTTTTGTGTCTCCTGGTGTCTCTTCGTCCCGAGATGTGTATTTGCTTATGTGTTTTTATATTCCAGATGAAGGTATGATCTGACTTTTGCGCCTTTGCAACCGAGCCTCTCACACTTCTTTTGGCTGCATCAATAGAACCAGCGAAACATGTCATTGTTTCCCCTCTCTCCCATTACCCGATCGCTATCCCTTTTCCGATCCGTCACAGAAGAGACCATCCTGCCCCCCCCCCCCTCCCTCCTCTCCCCCGACCGCAACACTTATCTCTCTTCATTAGAAGCTGCCGTTCATCACTGAGCGGTCCACTGGCCGTGGCGCGACGGCGCCCCTCCCCGTCGGCGGCCGGGGGCGCGGGTCTCACGCGCCACCATATATCGACAATGATCCGCGGCGCCGGCGGCGACTGGCGCCAGCGCCGATACTCGGTATCGCCCTCCGTGGTGGCTGGAGGTGGCAGCCAATTAATGGGCCCTGTATCAAATGTGCTTCAAATTGATTGGAAGCATCCACTGAATGCATCGGAGGGCCGGCATTTCGCGCCCGAGCGCCTCCGTGGCCCGGTCGGCCCGCCGCAGCGGCCCGGCTGGGAAACAGGCCCGCGCTGGCACTGGCGACTCTCAGGAACAGAGAAACTGACGCGCTGGGGCAGAGGCCTACAGTGATACCGTCTGAGGGATCAATAAAACAGCAACACCGTAGCACTGATGGCTCTCAGATATAAATACCTATGAACGTATCTATGCTTTTGTCACGGGAAGAGTGAATCTCCAACGAGACGACATGGACTTTTAAGAGCTCCATTCAGAGATCCGGGGTATCCGATCTCGTTAGCTGGGGAGGAGGGTAAGTCGCATGTTATGCCAGACGGCAAGCGTCGCCCCTCACAATCTGGTGTCATTTATTAGCGTCGTTTGCACGCCCTGTTGACCGGCCTGGTGAAAGAGAGGAAGGAAATACAGAAATAATGGAGTCACATTATGAAGTTAACGAAATTAACCATTCCAAAATAGCACTCTAACGCGGCTTCTTCACCGGGTGTGTAATTACGTATATAACCGGAAAACTAGACTGAACGATCCAGGTATTCGGTCTCGCCATAGCATCGTTACCGCGAAGGCGCCAACTTGGGAAAAGCTCGATGCAGGCATAGTCTTTACCAGCTGCACGCTGCCCTATGGCCTTTACCAGCAGCATGCTGTCTCTCGGCCTTCACCAACTGCCCCGCTAGCCGCCTCCTTGGTCGGGGGGAAAGATGCTGGACTCGTAATCCAGCGGCACTGGGTACGAGTCCCGGAGCGGGTGCATTGTTTGGCCCGACTGAAATGGAAGGGATAGCTGGCAACTGGCCAACGAGGGTCCCCCCTGGCCCGAGGTGGCCGCGTCGTAGCATCGTGCGGCACGTAAAAGACCTCCACATTCCTGCCTGGCGCAAGGGCGGAGACAAAATTTTGCGTTGAACTGGACGGTACGACTTGGGTGGTGGGTTCAGAGTGCGCGCAGCAAGCTATGCTTAAGCAGATACTATGAACTCAGGTCACCCATGCAAGCCATTCGGAATAAGTTTATAAAAAATAAAATAAATTTTAAAAGCTGCACGTTGTCCTTAAGCCCTTATCAGTTGCATGCCTTTACCGCTTGCATATCGTCTTTTGGCCTTTATCAGTGTCATGCTGTCCTTCGGCCTCTAGGTTTTAGTTGCGTGGGAGGTTACTCGATATGACGCAGAGGGTATGCACTTGTTAGTCAATATATATATATATATATATATATATATATGTATGTATATATATGTATATGTATACATATATATATATATATATATATGTATGTATATATATACCTATTTGGTACGGATTTGTGTACTTAATAGTCATTGCATCAGTAAAGCTTTTTATGCAATTAATTTTTAAAATACGCTGCAACCCAATGCCAAGTTTTTAAGCTCAGTCCACCTGCCTTGTAGCTTTTTCACAAGCCTCAAATCCCATTCGACCATTTCCAATAACGCAGACCTATTTTCATCACGCTGCATACAATTATTTCGTGTTCAGCCCACTTCAGCTTATTCCGGGGAATGCAATACGTCCGCATGGGCGTTTCTCTGTTAAGTTATATTCCTCGGTCGTATCTAATTAGGTTCTACGCCTTAATGCTTCTTAATCGGTATTTCCATGGTATTCTGAATTGTCGACAACCGAACCCATTATCAGGGATTCCATACCTCTGTAGAGGGATATCTAGCGTTTAACCACCGCACCCACGTAACTGTGCAAAGTTTAAGCTGTTTGCAGCAACATCATAATGTGTCACGATACCACGCCTTTCGAAGGGTAATTATCGAGTAATCCAAACGATTTTCTTCAGCGCCACAGCGTTCGCTCCCCTGGCGCACTCGGCGTGGGTCACCAGCTGACCGTTAAAATGCCCGATCCTCCACATGCAGAATATTATATTTGACCCGAGCCACCCAAACCCTTAAATCAATACTTCTCCTTCGGTTAAGGGATCACCCGAACCCGCTGTTCGTGGCATGCATCCATTACAGCTTGCAAGCAGAAAGGTGCTCCTTTATTGACTCTTGCTCGGCCCTTTACATAGGTTTGGTATTTTGTTTACGAGAGAAGAATGATTAATTTACGCTTCTGCTGCTTCTCTTCTCTGCTCTATTCATTCTCATTGCCCTCTGAACTTGCCCACCATATTCTGCTTTACTCCTCTGCTCTTCTGACCCCTGTATTCTATTCTGACCCTCCCCGTCAGCTTCGGGACACAGCTTGACCTGGTCTGGAGCATCTCACCGGCCATCATCAACTTGTCAGGGAAATTGTTGATTATATCAATGCATGTCGTAAAATCCCCGCCAACCGTCGCCACATTTGCATGGTTTTGGACGCCACTCAACTAGATTCGAGAGCACAGGTGCAGTTTCCTACTCGGTTGGGGGAGCAGGGGAGGGGGCAGCCCTCAAACTCTGAGAAGAAAGTGGACCAAATCAGTTTGTCAACCCATTTGTCGGCATATTTTGGGGGAAAGTTGTTTACTGTTCAGCTCCCCCTAACTCATTTTGCGAAATTATGCCCCGTTGGAGAGCGTCTCTCTGCACCAGCTTAGGATGACATTTAACCCATGCTTAGAGCACGATGGCTGTTTGCGTTGGATTATGAGCTTATGAGGCACGCAACCTTTTTTAAAAATTTGATCCGAAGCCTTTGAATGGATGGATCTCTGAGATTAGAGCTCACGCTGAGCAGTGCTTGTGTGGGCCCTGACCCTCACCATCCGATCGCGCTATTCCAGGCAACGGCAGGACTTAGTGGTGAAAGCTTAACGTGTCGCAATACTGAGCACGGTCCGTGCTGCCCTCTGACGTCAGCTAACCTTCAGCGTGACCGCTGGCACCGGCCGCAGGCCATATCCGTCAAGGCCAAATAGCGAAAGCCTAAAGCGACTCGAAACCACCTCGCCACGGGTGAGCGGGTGGGAAGGCAGGCGCTTTAACGGACAGAGCCATGGAGCCGGACATCGTTAACAGTAACATCAACCTGCAAGAAGTTAGCGCATTTCGATATCTTCTAGATATCACTCACCCCACTTGGCTCGACGCTCTTGGCGTGGTCGACACGTTGCCAGCGGCAGACGGTGTGCTTTTGGACGGCGGCAACCATGGGATCTCGATGGCGGGGCTGCGTTTCAGGTCCGCCCCAGAAGAGGTGCCGACCTGAGGAGTCTGATGCGCCGTACCTGGAGCAGAGCAGCGCGGTCAGCCTTGACCTGAGGTCAGCGGCCACCCTCTCGGCGACCGTCCAGCCCGGCCGGCCCCTGAGCTCCGACGATGAGGTCAGCTGATCGGCTTCGGTCTGGGTCCTTTTGTCTGCGTGTGTCTTAGCATGACAGTGATCGCTCGTCTAGCGATGATGTGTGAGTCCACACTGAGTTTGTGTATTAACCCTGACCGTAATTGTTTGTGCTTTGGGGACCAGCGGCAGGAACAGCATTCAAATGAAAGATTATTTGGCAAAATAAAACAACTGGCTACCAATCGTTCAATACGTTAATAGTGTAAGTTTGGCCAGACGACGAAACATAATTTGAGCCAGGGATATAATTTTCTGCTCAGTTGAGGAACTGCAGCCTTTCGTTCGCAGTTTGGAGAAAAATGCAAGTGAAATCCGTGGAGAGATCGTTTGGTGGCATTACTTATGGGAAGACTTTACCATTTTTCATGCTCAGTCCCCCCTTCCAACACATTTTGCGAAACTACGCCGCTGGTTCCAATGTAGTTCTGCATTGCCCAACGGTGACCTGGATAAATCGTGAGTGATTTTGTGGCCCGGACCAGAGGGGTGGGAATGGAAGCTCGCATTGTCAGATCAAATTTGCCAGATCAAAGTCGCCAGATCAAAGTTGCCAGATCAAAGTTCTGTAACTGGCAATCGGATCAGTTAGGCGTGACATTTTGTGCGTATTCTCCGCGTGACAATTGTCTAATGTCACCGCTGCGCGCAGGTGTCTGAGAGATCGTCATCGCCCCGCGCGCCGCCTCCGATGTACGACTCGGACAGGTCGCTGGACCTGATGGCCAGGTTGTTTCCGTCGATATCCCGCTCAGAACTCTTCCACACTCTCAAAGGACATGGAGGTGGGTTCTGCGCAGCGATGCCCGTTTGGGAGCCCTTCCTGTAAGACGTCTGCTTTCGCGGATTTCGACTTAAGAAATGTGAGATAGGCTATTGACTGACTCTTGGTAGCTTGCGCATTTAACATTCGTGACTGCAAAAGCTACATATAGTGACCATTGTAATGCGATATAATTCAATTTGAACATGACCTAATTGAAATACTTATAAACAAAATACGCAAACGAAAATACGAAGCAGCAATCAGGCCAAAAACTGCACATTTATAACTGGACCAACGGCGGATCCAAAGATGCCAACCGGACCATGCCCCCTCCCCCTCTCCCCACCCAAGATAACACAATTTGGATAAAAATGATGCATTTGTTGACTTTGAAGACAATCTTAACAGTTTGATTGCCAAGAGTTACCTCCCAAGCCGGGACTGCTCCCCCCCCCCCCCCCCCCCCCCGTGAGGAGTATTCTGGATCCGCCCTTCAATTTAGCACGCATGCTATCTGAAGAATTGAGCCAAAGTAAAATTTTGCTGAAATAAAGGAATAATAGTTTTCTTACTTTCTATCCGCCACAACCTTTCTTTCCAGATATTTCATTGTGCTTCGCATGTGTGGCACTAACATTATCACACGTCCACCCCTCCACGGCATATGCATATATATATATATATATATATATATATATATATATATATATATATATATATGCTGCAGATTGTGTCTGAACAACACGTGCGTTGGTCGTGTATCGAATATTGAGCCACTTTGTACACAGGCAACGCGCTGGCGTCGGCCGGGCGGTGACGGCGCGTGCCGCTGTGCGGACAGGCGACGCGCTGGCGTCGGCCGGGCGGTGACGGCGTGTGCCGCTGTGCGGACAGGTAACGCGCTGGCGTCGGCCGGGCGGTGACGGCGTGTGCCGCTGTGCGGACAGGTAATACGCTGGAGGCCATCGACAGCCTACTGCGGCCGCGGCCGCCTGCCGAGCTGCCGGACAGCGCCGGCGCCGGCGCGCCGTCAGCCTTCTCCGCGCTGCACGTGCCGCCAGCCATGATGGGCTTCCCGAGCTTCCGCTACCCGTACCCGCGACCCTACTTCCCGGTGCCGTGGAGCGGTGACCTGTTCCCGCCCTACCCCGGCTACGGGCTGGCCTCGCCGCCCGGCCTGCCATCTAGCGGTGGCCTCGGCGATGGTAGGGCCGAGCCCTCCAGGTCTCCGCCTTCGCCGCCCAAGTGAGGGCAGCACTAGTCAGCGGGACATGGGCCTCTCCTGATCAGGCCAGTGAATAATTTCTGGTCCAGTCAGTGGATCACCGACTGGCCCAGGTCAGGTCATTAATCTCCTGACTACCCTTGATCGAGGGGGTGAGATATCTATTTCACTTCACCGAGTGAATTGAATATATGCCTGGCCTGATCCGGTCAGTAACACGGTGTTCCCGAATGGCACGACGGCACGCAATGTTGTCACAGGTTATCTGTGAGCATGGAAACAGCCCCGAGGTCAGATGTTACCAGGTCAGAGATCCCAGGGCCATGGGGCACAAGGTCAAAGATCAAGGTCCGGGGGTGATAAGCCACCAGGTCGGAGATTCTGGGTCATAAAGGGCAATCATGTAGAGCGTTGCCAGGTCAGGCGTTCAGGGGTCAGAGGTCACTGAGTCAGGGGCTCTCAGGCCAAAGATCATCAGGCCAGATGTTGCCAGATCAGAAATAAATGGGACAGGGGTCCTGATGTCAAAGATCACGTGTCAAAGGTTGCCAAGCTGAGGTCTCAATATCAAAAGAATCCCATCGCTGAGGCTGGGTTCTGAAACCTTGAGCTTTGAGGCCTTTTGCGACCTTCTTCTCCTCGATTTGAGTTGTGGATCAGCGCCGACTACAGCGCTGTGCACGGTCAGCACTTGTTCTGGGTGTTGACGGCCGCTGCGTGCCGCGGCTGTTACGCGAACAATTGTCCCTGTGGTGTAACCCGTGTCCCTCTGATAGGCCCAGATAGATGATACAGGGCGAAGGCAACATTTGCTTCGGCCATACCGGCTCGTCATATGACATGAGATGTTGTTGGTCAGGGCATGATTTCTGTTCCACGTGGCTCCCTCTAGTCAGTGGGTAACGCTGTCGTGCCCGATGATCCGTTTAAGGTAGGTTACACCGTAGCCTGGTCATGTTACAGCCCTCAATATACGCCTGTGTCACTCGTCATGCATTTTGTTGATCTTATGACGGCTGACATCGAGACCGAAGTGATGAAGATATTGCCGTCACGATGTGCTGGAGCCGGGCGGGGATTCATTGCCTAAACTCATGCGTTTGCAGAGCTTTACTCGTGGCTTTGCTTAGGTGTCATTAAAGACGCGGGTCCGCATCCTCTTTAGTTAGGAATGCAAATGACCTTGAGTTTGACCAGACGCTTACGCCTTACATCGTAAATTTGAACGCTGGCAGCTACTGATTATGCCGTGTAATAGCTAAAAACATTAGAAATCTGGCGCATTTATGATGATACTACGAGCGCGGCTTGGCAGTTGCATTCTCCTTGTCGCATTCGCCTCCCAGACCCATTTGTCCCTTAGAGGGAGGGTTCCACATTTATATGGAGTTTTAACTGAAGAAGCCATCTTGAAGACCTTTCGGCTAATTTCACGACCCTGCTTAACCTCCCTAGTTTCTAAGCCACACATCCGCGATTCGGGAGACCGCTTCAAAGTCACCTCCGCATTCACGACGCCAAAATAACGTCACTCAAATCTTGCCATCCCTTGAGCCATACGGCAATCAAGGCCGATGAAACATAGCTGTCGGGTCGTTCATACCTGGTGTTCGTGAGCACGATTTCCAGAAATAATCAGCACGTAAAAGCACCAGAGGTCGTTTGCTTACAACAGATATCTAAGTTCACGGTGGTCGCATGAGAAAGTTTGCGGGTACTCTGGACACCAATCCGGAGTCTGGCCTTGCTCTTACCTCCTTTGACTCGAAGTTCATGGCAAAGGAACCTCAAATTTTGCCGCAAATTAGCTCACGTCATTGGGGCTTTACGACACACTCAGCTGCTGAGGCTATATGGCGTCGCCTGCCTCCCACCCTGGCAGGAAGGGCGGGCACCGCGGGGAATCGAACCCCGTACCTCTGGTTTCCCAGACGACGCAAATTAGCTCCCGCACAGGCCAACACACCCTGTAAATTTGGTGTCTCTACCTTTCTTAGTTTCTGATATCTCGGGGGAGGGGTTAAATCGACCCCCACCGGAGCGAAGGACATTCAGCCGGCCACCCGGACGCGTGTTCGCCCTCGCCCTGATAAGGTGTTGGTGCTTCCCCTTCCCGCAGGTTTTTCAGGACACCTCTCCGGAATATTGTGCAATGGCGCTCAAATATTCAGTACCCTATGCGCGTGAACCCCTGTACCCCTGGGAGCGCCATTGCGCGTGTGGTAAGATCATCACCGTATTCCCAGCTGTCCTAGTTTCGGAGCAGCACCGGTTTTTCGGGAACACTGCACGGCGATGTACGGCGGGCGCGGGCGGTGGGTTACAACCAACGTCTCCGCAGAGCGCGAGCGGTGGGCGGATGTTGTTGCATTAACGAAGTCATATGTCATAAATGTATGCTCAGAACGCGTACACCTTTACACCAATGTAATAAGAATCAAACAAGGAACACGACTGCATCGATTTTGTGTCGCTACAACGATCTCGTATGCATGAGGATGTAAATATGAAGAAGTGCGATTGTTTGGATATTTAATCTTTGACCTGGCATAAAGAGGGTATCTATGAACACAGTAACATAAAACGCATCATTAATCGCGAGATCTGGTAAAAAGTGATTCACTGTTTTTTGTGTTCTTGCAAACGGCAGAGGGTTCATGTTGACTCCCCTATCAGCCAGCGTTATGAAAAACGGTGAATCAGGGCGTAGGTTTAAGGGGATGTTTCACGTTTGAAGATATGGAAACAAACATCAGATATGTTGAAGTATGCGTTGATCACTGCGCATCTGGGAAGCCAGAGGCGCGGGGGTCGATTCCCCGCAGTAATCGCCCTTCGTGCCAGGGTGAGAAACAGGCGACGCCTTATAGGCTAAACAGCTGGATGCGTCGTAAAGCCGAAATGACAATGATGTGATGAAACAAACTCAGTCATAACTCTTGGTATACTTTTATGTGCAAAATGCTGCTGTAGACAAGACAATATCTCTGTTTAGTAAATATGATCCTCGATGTGTTATTGTTTGATTAGGTCATCACACCTTGCACCACACTGACTGGGAGCCGCTTGACGGCCGTTATATCTGGAAGTCGTACTCACCAACGCCAGATATGACCGGCTCGACAACTATGTATTTCGGGGCCTTGGTCGCCGTATGGCTTATACACCATGCGGTACGTTTATGCAGTATGCAGTACATGCGCGATCGACTAATGAACTAGGATCAACATGCATGCAGCGTCGAATTTCGCTGCAAGTGCCGATATGCCCGCAAAGACACCGGATACACATGGTTGTCACGTGTCCTGCACAGTGTGTATTTTGCATTTCATCTGTGAGCATAAGGTAGAAGTTGATGATTGCCAATATCACCACTGGTTGCTTGATAACGTCCTTTAACCAGTCCCCTTGGAGTTGAAGGTTGATAACTGTCAGCGTTAGAACAGTGAACTCTCAGTGATGTCAGAGTCCCTATGTCCTGAGTCCGTACCGACATCTCAGTTGGCGAGGGTATCTTCCTTCCGATCCATCCACCCGTAGCGGCGGAGGAGTTCGGGTCGCTTTAAGCGCTCGCTGTCTGCCCTTGATTGGGATGGCCTGCGGTCGGCGGCAGCGGCCGCGCCAAAGATCAGATGACGTCAGCGGTGGTGACTTGGGGTGCTAAATCAATTTTTTGCAAAGCTGACGTTAAACTACAACTTGTGACGTCATCCCTTCCGTTGCACGAGCGAATTCCTTCCGTCCGCCAGGTTAAGATCATAAAGGTATAGCAGATTTTGACGAACAAAGCTAATCGCGGCCTGGCGCATTGCTGGGCTCCCCACCCTTTAGGTCAGCGACCCCGGACACATCACTTCTTATGGTGCCTCTGAAAGATGAGGCGCTTCTTCGGAAATTTATCCTTCCCATGATGGAGAGCCTTCGAGCACGACCAACAACGCGTTACCAACACACAATCAACGGAGTTAACGCGCGCGGGCCGGAGTGTCACCAACGGCGTCATTTCGACGATGATCAGCTGACTACCAGTGCGCGACATCTCGCGACTTTTACGTTTACCAACTAAACTTCGTTTATACATAATGATACCTGCATTTAAATTTTTCTTCAAGACATTATGGTTATATTGGAATGTGAGCTAATCAGCAGCTGATAGTTCTCGAGCACAGCGGTAATTTCTTACTAAGTTACAAGCTTGCAGCTGTGCATCGGACACCTGACGGTTACGAGAATTCGTCGTGGACAAATCTAGAACACAAGCAGACATATTGCTGTTAATAGTATAAAAATATCACGGCCGAATCATTGTTCGGCAAATCCACAGAATTTACGTCAAATTTTGTAGAAAACAATATCGGTTCTCAACAAACTTCTCTTAACAGGCGTGAGGCCACAGACCCGATACATGGCTACACGAATGTCCGACGCAGAAGAAAGCAGACCACCTCGGCTACGACAGAGCCGCCCCGTCCCGTCACAGCCACAGGTGGCCCGCTCCCACCGGGCGCGGGTCGTGGGAGCCGCGTATGACAGTTTTGATGACCGCCGGAGGCGGCGGCCGGCTGGGCGGCGCTGAATACCGGGCCGGTCGCCGGCTCCCGGGGCGCGCATACTCCAGCGGCCCGCCTCAATGCGGTCCGGCGAGCCACCCTAAAGCCGGACCATGGATCGGCGAACCCCGGAAACGGGATAATCTGTACCGATCACGCGTGAGTGAGCGCTCGGCAGCAGCCCGTGGAGAACTCAGAGTGAGGAGACGTCCGACCCCTCGCGCGCCGACTTCGGACATGTTCTCCAAACTCTGCCGTATTCTGACCTGCGGGTCCGAGCAGGACTCTGCAGCATCACGCAGCACAGCCAGACTAAGCACAAACGTGCGGGCTCGGCTTGGTATGCACCCGCCGTAGAGATCCTGACAGGTGTCCTCCCCCCCCCCCCCCCCCGTGCGGAGTCGTAACACGGGACACTGTGGCAGCCTGTAGCATGTGAACAGGTGCCACAGGCTTGTGTAGTCGGACAGGGCA